GCATAAAGAATCAAATTAATTTTTTTAAGCAATATAATTGGATCATAACTGTTTTTTCAAAATCTATAATATTACACACGTACATAATGCAATGTATTTCTTTTTTTTTTTGTTAAAAAAAATGCAATGTATTTCGCAAACCACAATCTTTGACAAGATGTTATGAGGAAAGAGTAATTAAAATATTGTTTTCGTTTGCTTTTAATATAATCTATTTTAATAACATATTGTTTGTCAATATATATATAACTAGATTTTAACCCGCGGTACACCGCGGATCGACTTTTTAACTAAAAAGTTTTAAATTTTAAGTTGTAATTATTTTGTTAATATTATTTGTTTTGTTTAGTGTTTAAGATTATATATTGAATTTTGATTATTATTTCTAGGATTTTTATATCTTCCGGTATTATTATCGATCTAAACCCGTCCCACCATATAACTCCGTCCCGTAAAATTAAACATCATTTTTTTTAATAACACATTTGTTTAGAAAACATATAATTAGAGTCAATTTAAAAGTTTGTTTTTAAGTGGTTCCATAGTATAAATATTTATAATTTTTATAGTGTTCAAATATTATTAATATTATAAACTTTTTATGGAATTAAATATTATAGATGAAAGTGAGTGATTTATCAAAAAAAAAAAGAGATGTAAGTGATTCAAATCAAAGAAGAATAGGAAGAACCTTAGTCCAAGACATGTAGAAAATGAAGCAAATGATTTGCAGAGTGAGGGACGGCGAGAGTGGAACCATGCACATTGATTTGATGACTAAATAACCTCACTTAAATATAGAGAATAAGTAGTCCATTGATTTAGGTCTTGTTATGATACAATATTAACAAAAAAAAAGATTTGATGAGTAATTGTTATCTTCAAGTTATATATTTACGTAATTATTTTCCTAAAAAGTCTACAACAGTTATTAGGTTCTGTAATTGTTTTAGGAAATTATTTATTTTGCAATACATTTGTCGTTAGAAAGTTTTTAAAATAAAAGGAAATTATTGTTTTTATTTATTATTGCAATTAATGATGGATCTTTAATTATGAGAAATCATACCAAATATATTTGAAGATTACAGTAAATCACGGAATAGTTATTATCGAGATTTTTAAAGTAATTAGTTGGAGGAGATTTGAGGAACGATTTTTAGAATAATATCTTTAATTAATTTTTTTAAATCTTAAGAATTAACTTCAATGGCATTGTTTGTAAATACATTCCAACTCCAGGATTTATTTGCTAAAAATCATCCAAAAATATATATATAGATATGTATAATTATAATGCTCGGGATAGTAACAATTAACAACACTAGCACAAATCACTAATTAATTATTTATATGTCAACAGTGATATATTTCAACATCTATATTTCATTTTTGGACTTTAATGTGCCATTCTTGACCTCTGGAATCCATCTTTGTTTGACACGAATACTAGAAAACTTGCAAAATTATGTATATTGTCACAAAATAGATTTTTTATGTCTTTTTATCTTCATGACTCATTGAATTTAGAATCTAACCTTTTGATTTTTTTCATAAAATCTAACCTTTTGAATTAAATGCAAAATATTCTTAAAAAATCACTTTCATAAAACTAGTTATTTCTTCTTTCAAATATACTTTTCCAAAATTTGACTGTCATAGTAGGAACCATCGGTGAATCCCATGTTTATAGAGAAACTCTGAATGAAAATCCTCTTATCAGCTAGGCAAACAAAAGCGTCGTACCTTATTGTTTAGCAACCAATCCGAAACAGTCCCACCAATATAAAAAAAAACATTTGAGACCTCCATTTCTTAAATTTCATTGGCCCAATGTTTGTAGTTATTACTTCAAATCCTTTTACTAGATTGCATTTGTCCTTTCAAATTTATTTATCTATATTAATTTTCAGAAAAATATCAATAAAGTATATTACGAACCCAAAAATGTCATGAATTTAACTTTTAGATCACATTTCAACTATCTATTTATACAAAATTCACGATTATATATATTTTTACCAAAATTCATACATAATTTTAATATAATTTATGTCTATTTAATAAAAAGCATGCAACTTCCAAAATCTAGGTATCATATGTTGTACAAATATACAGAGTCCTACGTGTTTTAGTAAAGCTAGTAAATATTTTTAACATATTAATAAGCTGGAATGCAACTTATATATAAGCATATATGACATCTATGTAATGAATAAATAATGTATTTTACGTCGGGCAAAAGCAATGCATGAAGTCGCCTTCAACAACAGAATCATTGTAATTTAATGTGCTGAAAGAAAATTGCATTTTTTAAAAAGGAACAAAATGGCACTAAAGGGCAGATAAGGGAGCCATGTACATGATATCCTTTTAAGTTAGTGATGCGATGCATGCAAACCATTTTTAATATATATGCAATTCCGACTACGACTGCTATGGTCCCTATTTTATATTTCAATTTTACATTAATTGATTATATATTTATGTGGGTCCGTTGATAGTTAAATATAAATATTAAGATGTTGATATGTGAGATAAAACACCACTTTCATATGCTAATTATCGTATAATGCTAACAAAAAGAATAAGGATAATGTATAACAACCGTGGAGAGTATTTCATTTGGTATGTTTTAGTTTTAGATAATTAATACATGGTATATCTAACAGCATCAACTACATTATTAGAAAATTTATATTCCCATTTCCCACTAAGAAAAACATAAAGAAAAAAATGTGCGAGTTAAAATGCTTTTTGGGTCGCAAACCTTAGTCAACAAAACGTAAAGAGAAGACGTGCATGAGATGATGGTGAAGTTTTCATGGGGTAGTGTCTCCATTGAGTTTCCTCCGTTTAGAAATCAACTTTATTTTTAATATTCAACATTTTTTTAGGCACAATTCTTCATATTATATTCTTCATTTCTTCTACAACTATACCTGTTGGAAATAAGTTTTTTTTTCTTTTTGTTTTTAAGACAAGCAAATATATAAATTACAAGAGTGAGAAGAAAATGATAATAATCATAGGATAATATAACTTTTTTTTCATGATTAGTTGAATACTCAGAAAATACGACAACGACAGAACATAAAAGTCTATTTGGAAGATTCATTGGAAAATACTGAAATACATTACGGGTAGAAAAAAGGGTAGGCCACGAAATGATTAAGATTTGGAAATCGTGGGTACCATTCAAATATATGATCAAGTAAATTATTATGCGAATATGTGTTGCATAGTTTTCTTTAACTTATTATATGTGAAATAAGTGGTGGTGTCATTGTTGGTGTTGCTCGTTCTTTAAAAAGCATAGTGTTTAGAAAATCAGGAATCTCTTACAAGTAAAGTAGAGATGACATAATTACGGCATTGCGTAGCCACCATGACACGTGGCCTTTTCCACTCCGTCACCCCTACGATGCAATGATCTCATTAAACCCCATTATTATCACATTTATATTTCATAACCCCATCATATATTAATATACCAAGAAAGAAAAACTCCCTGATATAATATAGTCTTGGTCTGTTTTAAAAACTAGAAATCATCTAGTTTTGATAGTGATTAACATGTTAATGGTACATATATAGGACTAATAGTGTTTATTTTTTTCGTAAAATGAAAAGCAGGTAGAGATAAGATGCAGAGGGCAAGAACTGGAGCCAGTGTTGACACTACAACACGTGAGAGATTCAATATGGAGAGGAAGCAGAGACAATCCTTCTCTTTCACAAAACATTACTTTGCTTCCAAACTCATCTACCTCTGATCATCTCATGGTCCTCCATTATGGTAGGACTATTTCTTAACTATTATACTCTATTTTATTTATTATTTTTATATAATACCATATTCTCAATAAAAATACCTGCCCACCATTTCTTCTTCTTCTTTTTTTTTTTACTCAACATCCCACCTTCTTCAATTGTTTTCCCCCATCTTCTTTTTTTTTTTTTTTTTGGTGGGTGGTCTTGATTATTTATTTTTCACTTAAGGCCTTTTCTTGGTGCGATTTGTCAAATGAGCAAGAACGAAAGAGTATCTAATTCTGTAGGAGTCTAATGAGCATACCCCGATTGATGTCTTTTATTGTTGTATCTTCTGGGGTTGCGAGTAACGTTAACGCATGAAAACGTGTATTAAATATTTATATTCATTATTTTTCATGCTACTACTAATACTATTGCTAGGTGACTTGTTTTGACATATGTTGCTACTTTAGGTTCTGATCTGAATATTTCATGTTGTATCTGAGAAAATGGGCCTAATTTCGGCCTACCACCAAACCAACGCAATGTCAAACTGAATTAGATCTGCGCTCTCATATTATAAGCCCATTAACGTTTTTTTTTTACATCAATAAGCCCATTTAAGATTATGTACTGATATTCAGATACATTTGAATGTGTTGATATACTAAACAAGTAAACGTTTGGGATGGTTAGGGTTTGCTTTGGGCTTTAATGAATTTTTGTAATATCATAATGGTGAGGCTTTTGTTAATTTTAGCCCGTTGGTTTAGTTTAATAAAATCAGACACTTTGTGAAAGAAAAAAAAAACAAGTAAACATGCACATTAGTGGAAACGTTTTCGTAAAGTAAAAACTCGACATAGAAAAGATGTTTTACATTAAGGTGACAACAACAAATGCATTTTTGATTATTGGAGATTTATAGAGACGAAATGCATTTTAAAATTATTATCATTGGAGGAGAATAGGAGATACCACACTAAAAACCAAAAAATGAAACGACGAATATAAATATATTTAAACTTAATATATATAACCAAAAAATGAAACGACGAATATAAATATGTTTAAACTTAAAATATATATATATATATATATATTTAAACTTGGTGAATATTGTTGTAGATGGAGGAATTGTCGGCAAAGAATGATACACATAAATCATCAAATCATTAATAGATTAGATCAAAATATAACACTTTTGAAACAGAACTTTCAACTATACAACTGTATATTTTTTTTGTAAATTAATAAAGTTGTTCTATAGTACTATTTAATTTTTGGTCTTACTTACCCTCTTGGTAAAGTAACTAAAGTAGACCAACTCAACTCTCTTCTTGTTCAAACTTAAAAAAAAAAAAACCACACAAAGATGTCTTTTGTCTGACTCCATAATCACCAAGAAGAAGAAGATCTAGGTCTTGCATCTCTCTCTTCATTACAATGGAGCGAGCACGAACCGAAAGCCCTAGCTACTTCCGTCAATGGAGCGGCGATTCAGGTTCCACCAATGCCGCCGCCGTAGCTCCTTCTTCTCCGGCGCGTCATCACCACGCTCGATCTTCTTCCGTCACTAATATGTCTAACGTCAAACGAGCTCAAAACGTCGCCGCTAAAGCCGCTGCTCAGAGACTTGCTAAAGTCATGGCTTCACAGACCAACAATGATGACGACGATGACGATGATGATGATGAAATCGGTGGTGATGATTTGGGTTTCCGATATGGTGCTCCTCCTCCTCTTTCCTTCACTAGAAATCCTTCTTCCACAATTGCTAAACCTAAACCTGTTGCTTCTGCTGTTGTTGTTCCTCCTCCCAAGATCTCTAGATCTTCCTCCCCTGCGGTAAATTTGAGTCCTTTTTTGCTTTAGTAGAAACCAAATCCAGCCAATTTACTAAATTTGTTTACTCTTTAATCATAGAGATTTGGTTTCTAGTTTCTAATTATGGAAATGTGGGATTTTGATTGAAAATTTGGGAATGTAGTAGTAAGGGAAACTAGTATGAATGTTTCTAATCAGAGGATTGATGGTGATTGTGAAATATTAGTTATCTCAGAACTCTCCAGCCGTGTCTGTTAGGGCATCGCAGCCGCCTGTTCCGCCGAGTAAACTGTCTCAAAGGCATCAAACTACCAATCCATCACCGGTTGCAACTCCTAAGACTGAAAAGAGGTGAAGAGAACTCCCAAAAATATCTTCATATTAAAGAAGCTAGTTGAGTTTGTTATTCATGACTTGGAGATTGTTTGTCATTGTAGGGTTTTAGCTGATATTGGTCATTTTAATGGAAAAGATTTGAAAGATCAGCACGAAGCATCCGCACTTCGTGATGAAGTACGCTAATTCCTTTGTTTTTCGTATCTATTTTTATTTTTATGTATAATGTCATAGATGGATACTGAGATTTGTTTTACATCACAGCTTGATATGCTGCAAGAGGAGAATGACAGTATTCTTGAAAAGGTAGATAATCTTATCTTTTGTGGTTTTCATTTATCCCCAAGAGTAATTCTTTTAATACGTTTTGAGTTTTAATAACAGCTTAGGCTTGAGGATGAGAGATGCAAGGAAGCAGAAGCCAGGGTGAGAGAGCTTGAAAAACAGGTAATTGGGACCAATACCTGTATGCATCATTTTTTTATTTTTCTTGTGTGTTTTAATACTGTTCTCACCCTTGAGACAAACTTTAGGTAACTTCTCTGGGAGAAGGTGTATCCTTGGAAGCTAAACTTCTGAGCCGGTAGTCAATATCAATATAATTTATTGCCAGTTTCGTTTTTTCTTGTTGGATTGAAATGCTTACATGAATGTACTTTCTTTTTCATGTTGCAGAAAAGAAGCTGCTTTGCGTCAAAGAGAGGTATTTCTAAGTCTGAGGCTCCTCAATATTTACCATTATGTTCTGGCTTTTAGATTCACCAACACTCGCTCTATGACAGGCGGCCCTCAAAGATGCAAGGCAGAATAGAGATGGGACTAATAAAGAGACTACTGTTCTTCGGTCTCAAGTAGAGGTAGGCCCTATTTTCTGTCCATGTGTCACATCTACGATGAGGTGTTAAAAGTGAAAATGAAGAAAGCTTATATTTTCTATAACTCACTCTGAATCAGAATGCAAAACTTGAGACCGCTGCTGTAGTAGCACAACTTCAAGGAGCAGAATCTGAAGTCAACGCTCTACGGACAATGACGCATAGAATGATATTGACCCAAAAAGAGATGGTTTGTGTTCATGTTTTTGCACAGTCTACACATAAGCTTATGGTAGGGTTTAAGTAACATAGTCTTGCATAATTTTCAGGAGGAAGTTGTTCTTAAACGGTGTTGGCTAGCTCGGTATTGGGGTTTAGCTGCCAGATATGGTAAGGAGTAACAAACATATCTGCTTAACGACATAACTAGAACTTTTATGCTATCATGTATCTTTGCTTCTTGACATCTGTGCGTATTTGCATTTCAGGCATATGTTCGGATATTGCTACATCCAAGTACGAATACTGGTCATCTCTGGCACCTCTTCCTTTTGAAATTGTGCTGTCAGCTGGGCAGAAGGCTAAAGAAGAAAGTTGGGAAAAAGGTAAGCAATCACTCAGTCATATTTATATCTGTTTTGATAACATTCAATAAGTCCGAGTGTCACTTTTCGTTACCGTATATTCATCTGTTGGCTATGAAACATCTGACCAGAATCTGAGGAGAACGAGAAGAGGAGCCAGCTCGCTCAAGATATTAATGATCTAACAGGAGAGGGAAACATTGAAAGTATGCTCTCTGTGGAAATGGGTCTAAAGGAGCTAACTTCTTTAAAGGTTTATTCTCATCTTCTCTGGTTCTAGTTCTGGTTCATGCGTCCCTCTTTCATATTACTCATGACTATACTTGTTCTTTTGAAGGTTGAAGTTGCCATTACTACTACATTAGCCCAGCTAAGGTTGGCCAATACTACTCGACTGTCTGATATCGGTGAGCTTCTTCTGGACGCCAATTTTTTTATGTTGCTCCTTGCATCAGCTAAAAAAGGCGACTTTAGCCAGGCTTCTAATTTCACCATTAAGATTGTTAAGATGATAGTTAGTGTACATGTTTAGTTTTATTTTTTGCCTTGCATCTTAAATGGCTATGCTTCTTTGCAATTGATGTTTTTTCTGGTTGTTTTATCTCAGAGTTAAAATCACCAGGTGGTCCTAAGATTACGGAGGCACTTGGTAAGTTTATTAGCTTATTATATTACTGAATATTTAGGTCAACATCTTGGTGTTATGAAATTTAACATATGGATTAAAGCTCTTGATACTAATATGACCATGAAATTTTACAATGACAAACTCTTGATACTAATATGACCATGAAAAACAACTTGAATGTCAGTATTCTATGTTTATGTTTACATTTCATATAATACTTCAACAAAGAGTGCAAAAAGTTCTTGTTATTATTGAGGATAATTCTGACCTTGGCCTGTGGTCCTTAGCAGAATTGAGTCAAGAAGAGTCTGAGGATGTTCTCTTCAAGGAGGTAGAGAATTACAAGCCCCTTTTTGCTTTCTTTCATGTCTTTTCCTTCATCTGATCCCTCCTTTATGTTCCCCTTTGTATCGACTTTTGTTCTTCTATAGTTCTATGTGTCTTTTGGAGATAATTTTGGTAGCTCAATCTCGGCCTTTCTCCATTCTCAACGCTATAAATCCTTTGAAACTTTTGGCAGGCTTGGCTCACGTACTTCTGGAGAAGAGCACAATCCCTTGGCATAGAAGTGGACATTGCGAGAGAACGTCTTAGATTCTGGATCAGCAGGAGCGCACACTCTCCATCTTCACATGACGCCATGGAAGGTACAATCTACCTTACCAAATTCCTTTTAGCCAAGAGGAATACCCATAAGACAACTCTAAATTGGTTCTTATTTTCAGTTGAGCAAGGACTAACAGAGCTAAGAAAGCTGCGGATAGAACGTAGATTGTGGGAAGCCTCCAGGTCCAGCCAGTAAGTAGTGACCTTGGGGACCTCGAGATCCCAGAACAGTCATGTTACCACAGCTTTAACAGTACTGTATATCGTACATGCTTTCTTCCTGTGTGGTTCATGTACGTTGCAGTCAGAAAAATGTTAAATCCAGTTTTGTGAACCGAAGAATTGTATTACGCGCACTACTTTTGACATATAATATATCCACGTTTCCACGTTCTCAATTTGCAGACTCATTCTTGTTGGATCAGTATTTATTGTACAGTATCTACTAATACAGACACTAAAGATAACCAGTCACCAGTAATCGTTGCAAGAACACTTTCCTTCCTTGAAATGGTGAAACCTTCTGGAATCTCGGATAACGATCTCATGTCCTGTTACCAAAGATACATGCTTTGCAAACTCATGACAATCTGGGCATGCCCGAAGATTCTTGAACACCTTAATAGGTGCACGGGCATTGCCATTCACCGATATCAGCCCAAATGCAATGGCAAGCCTTTCACTATGATCAAGAAGCTGTTCTCTTCTCTCTGTCATACTACACTGAAACATATCACCTTCCATGAAACCATCAAACTCCTTAAGCTTCTCATAGATCTCCTGACTTTGTGGATGGTGTTTATCGCCCACTATAAACCGATGAATCTTACCCTTTTCTTGGATCCAGCTGCAGCTCAGTTCCTTCTTTAACATCCTCTCATTCATTAGTTTCATCACTTCAGCAGCTTCTTCCCATTTTCCAGCCCATGTATAAAGATTAAAGGGTAGCACATATCCAGCTGTATCTTCTGGATCGAGTTGGCGAAGTTCCTCACCAGCAATTTTGCCCAGTTCAAGATTCTTATGAGTCCAACAGCCACTTAGAAAGCATTTCCAGCTCATTGCATCAGGTTCAAAAGGCATATTCTTCATAAATCTGAGAGCTTCGTCTAAAAGTCCAGAACGGGCATAAATGTCGATCATACAATCATAATGATCAATTGTTGGAGCCACGTTATATTTTCGAAGCATCGTGTCCAAGTAATGCTTTCCCTGTTCAACTAGGCCTGCATGGCTGCAGGCGGTTAAAACCGCAATAAATGTAACTGAGTTTGGCTTCATACCACAACTCACCATTTTCTCAAACAATCTCAAAGCTTCAGAGGCATTTCCATAGTAAGCATGACCTGATATAAAAGCCGTCCATGCAACAATGTCGGGGTTGTCCATTGACTCAAAGACTTCATGTGCATCATCTAAGCATCCACATTTTGAATACATCGTAATCAGAGCGCTTTCTCCATACTGAGATCCAATCAGACTTCTTTTTATAGCATCTGCATGGACTTGGCCACCGATGTTGCAATCTGCAAGTACTGAACATGCTTGAAATATGCTAGTATATGTGAATGAATTTAGAACCACCGCATTTTTGCTTCTCAAAGACTTGAAGGTTTTAACAGCCTCCTCAAATTGGCTCATTTGACAGTATCCGGAAATGATTGCGCTCCAGGAAACATCGTTTGGCTCTCGGATTTCTTGAAATGCACGACAAGCAGACTCGAAGCTGGAACATTTGATGTAAAAATCAACGAGTGGAGTTCCAACCGAGACTTCACATTCCAGTCCAAGCTTAGCGACACAGGCATGAATTTGCTTGCCAAATCTAAGCTCTTCAAGAGAAGCACAAGCTTTAAGAACAACTGAAAACACAAAACTGTCCCATTCGACACCTTCCGTTATCAAATCCACAAATAGTTTCAAAGCATCTCTTGCTCTACCAGCTTGAGTGTAACCTACCATCAATCCCGTCCAAGCCACTGGTTTCTTCACTGCCATCTGATCGAACACTCTCTTAGCACCGACTAACCAACCACATTTCACGTACATGTTCACGATCCCAGTCTCTATAGATGCGTTGCTACATAACCCAGCACGTATAACATGAGCATGAATCTGTCTACCAATGTCTAAAGCCCTAGGGTTTACCAAAGATTTCAAGAGTGTAGTATACATGGAAGAAGGAGGCTTGTCACCTGACTCTAGCATCCTCGAGAACAAACCAACAGCTTTATCCAAAAGACCTTGTTCGGCGTAAGCAGATATCATCGTTGTGCGAGAAACTGCATTTAAATCAGACATTTCATCGAACAGCTTATCTGCGTCTTCCAAGCTCCCGCACTCACAGTACATTTGTAGCACACAATTCTGAAGAAGCACAGAAGGATTCTCGATACCCATGCGCATGCGATTGTGCAAGAGTCTCCCATGAGATAAAGACCTCAATTCTCTGCAAGCCTCAAAGAGACATTGGTAAGAATACAAGCTAACGGAGACACCAGCCTTATCCATTTCTTGGAAAAACTCAAATGCTTCGTTGAGCTTCCCATGCTTCGACAACGAAACCAAATGAAGATTCTCCACTTGTCCTTGCTTATGCGAGATTTTAACAGAAGAAGTACTCGATTTCAGAGAAACCCACGACGGAATTTGATTGAAATTCGCGGTCTTTATAACCGGAACCCGAGAAGGACTATACGAGGACTGTACAGTGATAATCGTCATGGTTGATGGAAAAATTCTACAAAAAGTTTATAGCTTTACCCTTTCGAGAACAAACGACAGAGAAGCAAAAACTCAGACTTTTGTTTATTACAGTTATTGCAACAACCAAACGGGTATGGTTGCTAATAAACGACAGCGTTTCGGTAACAGAAGCGAAGGAGAGAGGTGGGTTCAAAGTTTCCGTCTTTGGTGTCTCATCAATGACAATGAGCCGCACTACTTCTCTCCTCTTCTTTGTTTTACCCAAAAACCTATCAATAATATTCTTCTTCTTCCTCTTCTCCAATGGCGGCTACTAGGGTTCGGTGTTGTCATAGCAATGCACCTTTCACCAGATTGCCTTATACCCGCCACCGAAACTCGCCGACGCTACCGATTTCTCTGAATCGTGTCGATTTCTCTGCGCTGAAGTGCTCGAGGAGATTATCATTACCCATTGGAGATGGCTCCTCCATTAGAAATGTTTCAGGTTCAGGCTGCAGAAACATTGTGCGAGCTATCTTGGAAGAGAAGACAGAGGCATTAACGGAGGTAGATGAGAAGGGATTCACGTGCGTGATGAAGTTTGGTGGATCTTCAGTGGCGTCAGCTGAGAGAATGAAGGAAGTTGCGGATTTGATTTTGACTTTTCCGGAAGAAAGTCCCGTCATTGTTCTCTCTGCAATGGGGAAAACTACCAACAATCTCTTGCTTGTAATGCTGAAATTCTCTCCCTTTTATCTGTTTCAATTCAAAGGTTTGAAATTTTTTTGATTGGAATTATTGGTTTTGATGCTAGTGAAGGCGGGAGAGAAGGCGGTGAGTTGTGGTGTTTCTAATGCATCTGAGATTGAGGAATTGAGCATTATAAAGGAATTGCATATCAGGTTTTGGTTTCTTGAAAATATGATTAAAATTTGGTACCTTTGAGTATCTTCTCCTTGCTTGATGTTGGTTTTGAGCAAGAATGTGACTTTTGTTGTTTCAGGACGGTGAAAGAGCTCAACATTGATCCCTCTGTTATTTTGAGTGAGCACATTTTAACTTGTAGACTTTCCAACATTTGGAGCTTCATTTCTTTCTAATTCTGATAAGGCTCATAAAATGTTTGATTTGTGATGAGTTTGGTAATATTCAAGAGTGTACATGCATTGCTTATTTCTATCTTGGATATATTTTGCAGCCTATTTGGAAGAACTGGAGCAACTCCTGAAAGGCATTGCCATGATGAAGGAGCTGACACTTCGTACGAGAGACTACTTGGTCTCTTTTGGAGAGTGCTTGTCTACAAGGATTTTCGCTGCTTATCTTAATACAATCGGTGTCAAGGCACGCCAAGTATGTCCATCATCATATTTTAGTATTAGTTTACTTTTCTTAAATATATTATATATCTCATTTGGTTGACTATTTAGGCTAGAAATGTTCAATCGAGGTTTATAACATATGATAAACAAATTCTGTAGACTCTGAATTGGTCAGTAAACTTTTGTGTTAGTTTGGTTTCGGTTGTCAAGGAAAACCTATTGGTGTATTTTCTCTTTTGCATGCTAAACTGGCCTTGGTGTGAGCTTTCTTTCACAAAGATCCGGCTCGCAAACAAAGCTAAGTAGATTTATGGACAATTACTCTGCAGTATGACGCATTTGAAATTGGTTTCATTACAACGGATGATTTCACAAATGGGGATATCCTGGAGGCAACTTATCCAGCCGTTGCCAAGAGATTATATGATGATTGGATGCATGATCCCGCTGTTCCTATTGTAACAGGTTTCCTTGGGAAGGTATTTCAAACAGTTTACAATCTACAGATAATCAAGATTTTCAGTCATGTTTTTGTCTCTTGCCTAATTATTTCTTTCAATAATAGGGTTGGAAAACAGGTGCGGTTACTACCTTGGGTAGGGGTGGCAGTGATTTGACGGCAACCACAATTGGTAAAGCATTGGGTTTGAAAGAGATTCAGGTTCTTCTACAACCTCAAAGTGTAATATTCCCTATTCAAAGGTTGCGGACCTCTTTGTTCAGTTTGGATGTTTGTTTTTCCATTACGTAGGTGTGGAAAGATGTCGATGGTGTTTTAACATGTGACCCTACTATATATAAGCGAGCTACACCGGTACCATTTCTGACATTCGACGAAGCAGCCGAGCTAGCGTATTTTGGTGCACAGGTCCCACTCTACTTGCATGCAATAATACTCAAGTGTAGTTATTAGTATTGTTAGATGAAAATTTGTACAATGGAAATGCTGGAGTGGTTAAGTAAGGAAATAAAATTGTTGCTGCAGGTCTTGCACCCACAGTCAATGAGACCAGCAAGAGAGGGTGAGATTCCTGTTAGGGTTAAAAATTCTTATAACCCTAAGGCTCCTGGAACTATCATCACTAAAACAAGAGACATGACCAAGGTATAGAGTCTCCTAATTGTGTTAGTTTTGTGAATCTCATGTGAGAACCTTCATAGCAAACAATTTTTTTTTTTTTTTAACTTTTTCATATGACAGAGCATTCTAACGAGCATAGTTCTGAAACGCAATGTGACCATGCTGGATATAGCAAGCACCCGAATGCTTGGTCAAGTTGGTTTTCTTGCAAAGGTAATAATAATATACATTTCCAGCGCATTATGTGGCCTAAAGTTTATTCCTTAGAACACTTTTTCATTGGGGCAAGGTCTGAACTGTGGTCTGCTCCAGCCTAAAATCGTTTAGGTACTATTAATAATCAACATTGCCTGCTTGCCTCACTCTTTTTACTAGGTATTTTCGATATTTGAGGAGCTTGGCATTTCCGTAGATGTTGTTGCCACTAGTGAAGTCAGTATATCGCTGACACTGGACCCTTCAAAACTTTGGAGCAGGGAACTGATTCAACAGGCAAATTTCTTGTAGAATCTCCAACATTTTATTTTCCAATTCATATATGCGTGCTTTTCAAAGGTCTTTTCTTTCTTTGTTCCTCGTTACAGGAGCTTGATCATGTAGTTGAAGAACTGGAGAAAATTGCAGTTGTGAATCTTCTAAAAGGAAGAGCAATAATTTCTCTAATTGGGAATGTTCAACATTCCTCCCTGATTTTAGAGAGGGTTAGATCGTGCCTCCTAATAAGATTACTTCCAAGATTCTAACAAAGAAAGATATATTTCTTTTGAGCTTCTTACTTAATTGTTTTTAACTTTGGGCAGGCGTTTCATGTTCTTTATACCAAAGGTGTCAATGTCCAGATGATATCACAAGGAGCATCCAAGGTAATAACATTGCTTATCACAACTCTCTTTCCGTTTTCACCTAACAAATTTCTTTCTTGCTTTGAAATCTCGCAGGTAAACATTTCCTTTATAGTAAACGAAGCTGAAGCTGAAGGATGCGTTCAGGCTCTTCACAAATCCTTCTTTGAGAGCGGTGACCTCTCAGAGTTATTGATACAACCCAGACTTGGCAACGGGTCACCTATCAGGATGCAAGTAGAAAATTGACTCGACAAGCTCATTGCTTGATCTGCGTTTTTCTTTGTATTCCTTCCAAGTGTAGTATGTACGTTCATCATGAACTGCTTGTTGTTATGTTTAGGCACGGGAACTGCTGAGGCTATCTTTTTTGTTGTAAGACCAATTTTTTTGTACCATTTGCGCGATCAAAGTTTAACCAGTAACTCGCAAGGATAAAGAAAAAGGAATATATTGATGTAACTGCAGATGTTTGAATTGTTTTTACATTCAAGTTTTGATACAAGTACATCGGGCTAAAAGCTGTGCAGTTGTGTAAGCATGTGGACAAGCTCATCACTTGAAGGCCGGTCTGCCGGAAAGTCAGAAAGGCAGATAATGGTGATTCTTAAAGCCATTAACATCTCGTCTTCCTCCACTTCCTCTCCTAGAATAGTCTTATCTAATGCTTCTCGTGCTTCCCCGGATTGTTGTAAATGTTTCAGCCATTGTCCTAAGCTGCCACCGCTTGCAGACTCTTCACAGAACGGGTGGGTCGGGTCTCTTCCGGTTAAAAGAACACCCAATATCATCCCGAAGCTGAATATGTCGCTTTTGTCTGTATATCTGTCACAAGGATTTGCATAACCGTGTTAGTAAAAGAGATGAAAAAGGAGTTAACTCAAAGACGATGGTGTTGATATTTGAAGCACCTGTTACTTTGAGAAGACTCAGGAGCAGAGTAGCAAAATACCGCTGTGTGTGAGCTAGGCATGATCTTGGCCAATCCGCAATCAGCAAGCCGAGGCTCAAACTCAGAATCCAACATCACATTTGTAGGTTTTAAGTTATAATGAAGAATCTGTGTCTCACAACTGAAATGAAGATACTGAAGCCCTTTCACAATTCCAACTGCAACTCTAAGCCTAATCTCCCATCCAAGCTCTACTTCTTTCGTTCTAACCTTATGCATCACATCCTCAAGGCTACCATTTGGCATATAATCATAGACGAGAGAGAACTCATCGGATTCGCGAACATAAGCTCGTAAACTCATAAGGTTCCTATGCCTTAACCCAGCAAGAAGCTCAAGTTCCTTCTGCAACCTTCTCTTAACCGACTTGCTACTATTAGTTTCTGGTGAACCAATTCCTTCAAGTGAGCCTAGTCTCTTGACTGCAACCACTAGACCATTATCAAGTACCATCTTATAGTATTTACCATTAGGGTCTGAGCCAAGCAACTGAATACCATTACCGAGAGCTGCGTGAAGAGATTTAGGAGTAATCTTAGGAGAAAACACCACAGGACCTTTGAGAATTGGCGTCTGTTTCATGTATTTGACAATGCTACGAACCAAGAAAGCTAACACCAAAGCCGAAACCAACCCGGTTAAAATCCCTGAAACGATGCTGACAACAATAACCTTGGAAGTGATTCTTGATTCGAGTGGTGTAGATGATGTTGAAGTTGTGGACAAGTGTTTCACAGTTCTTCGACGACAACTTGTACTTGTGCTTGTTCTTGAAAAGAAGACTAAAAAGAAGAATAAGAGCAGAGAGATAGTGTTGCTACTACATCCATTTCTTCTTCTTCTTCTTCTTTGCTCCATTGCTGCTTCTACGAACAAAAGCATTTGTTTTTTTTTTTCAAGATTCGACCCAAATCTGAGAAAACCCAGAAAGGTGAAGCTGCTCAAAGCTTACATAAAAATAAAAACACAGAAAAGTTTAAGACTTTTTAATGCTACAGTGAAGCTCTTTTATATCCTCTTCTCCCAAAACCACATATATTCTCGAGAAAACCAATGACAAACCACCAAGACAAAAAGGAAAAATGGAATTCAACTGTAAATCTTCACAAAGAAGACGAATTAGAATATCATTGGCTCAAAGATTCTTCTTATCTAAAAATCGAAAATTTAAAGAAAGCTTAATTAAAAAAAAAAAAAACCCAATTTTCTTGATAAGGGGGGGACACGAAAGTATCAAACTTTTGTATTGTATGTCTCAAAATAAACCCCAAAACTCAGTGAGGAACCCCAAAAAAAGAGAGCAGAGAACAAACTTCAATGAGGGGTTTTTCACAATTTTACTATATCTGTGGTTGAAAGATGAAACAAAACAAACGAAACTATCCAAACTGTTTCAGCTCAAATAATCCCAGTAACCAAACATAACACACTCTCTCTAGAACTCTCTTTTCAAGACACAGTATCTGTGAGACTGTGACACAGTCTCTCTCTCTCTATCCCTCCTCACAAAAAGCATGACCGAATCCGTTACTTACAGCCAAAAAATATGAGGTTCCCGCCTTACAGTGGGACCCACGATGTCAGATGGTCGTGGTTAGAGTGGGTCCCACCGCCACGTAGATGGATGAAAGGGGCAGCTCTCGTTGCTGTCATGAGTGGCCGAAAGCAAGACATCGAGTACCGAGCTCGAGGGAAGGTAAAGACTAAAGAGAGCTGAAGCAGAAAGGATATCTTGTCCGTCGATTTAGATGTGGTTAGTGAGATGTGGACCGTTGGATGGAGGAGAGGCTCGAGAATTTGTGCACTTTTGTCTTAGCGTGTGAGATTACTACTACACAAAAGTGGTTCCCTTTGTTTGTCTGAGAATAATTGCTTTCTCCTCTTTTTTCTTGTAAAATATTATTATAATTTTTTTTTTGGTAAAGGAAAAAGCTTTATGCGGTAGTGCTTTTATTCAAAGTTAGGTCTTGTTTTCCGATTTGAACCACATTCCTTTTTCTTATAAAATATCTTTGAGTGAAAAAGATAACCAGGGTTAATTAGCCTAATTGAAATGGTAACACTATTATCAAAAGACTCAAAAGTCAAAACTATGAATGTAATGGGAATAAGTGGACCAAAATAAGAGAGAAAAAAAAAAGTGGACCAAAATGTACTCTGATCCGAAAAATGACAATCAAATTTCAAACAAACTTGGGTAAAAGTGTTAACGACAACTGGTTTAACGCGTAAATTATCTTAGTTTTGTATGGACAGAGATTCAAAACCAAAATCAAGCCACAAATTTAATAGCTAGTAACGAAGTGAACAAAACCTTGAATAATTGCTTACAAGTTACAAATGACATGACAAACTTAGGATGCTATAGTCCCACATACACACAACACGACACAACACAATACACTATAAATTTCCCAATATGCAGCCTATATCCATCCATCACAAAAACATCAAATACATTACTTAATTGGGGGCTAAGCTTGCTCGAGACCATTAGAGTAGAGGTCCTTTAGTGTTGATTGGCTCTTCAAACCGTGAAAGCAACGATGAAACATAGCTCCCAAATTTATATGTCCGCGGCCTCTGTAACTTTTTTTCAGCACTGTCTGTTATTGTATCCGTTTGGGTCTGAAAGGAGAGCAAGGACTTCGGGATCAGTAAATTTCGACTCTGCAGCGATATCAAGGGCGGTTTTGCCTTCTCCGTTCATAGCTTCCGGGTCTGCTCCCCTGCAACACACATCCAATTTGTGTGAAAACATTTAACATTTCCAAAGGATTTAGCCGGAGAAAATGTTTGGGCGATTTTGGTTAAGCGGCTCTCAAAGAAGAAAAAACTCACCTAGTGAGTAGCAATCTTGCTATTGTCGCTTTGCCTCTGAGTAGACAACAGTGCAGCGGCGTTTGACCACTTGAATCTGAGGCATTTACATTTGCACCATATTGCAGCAAAAGCTCTACCATCCCAATATCTGCCTTCTCACAAGCACAGTGAAGCAGAGAGGAACCTCCGCTTCCCTCAGGAGAAATATTTGAAGAACTACCTGTTCTATCAAGTAACTCATTTCTTAATCTGAGTAGAACATCCTCACGTTTTGGCCTTTCTGGTACTAATATTACTCTGGATAGTGTTAATGAAGAGCTGGATGATGATTGGTCATACACAGAATTCACATCCGCATCACCATTGACAATAAGCCGGTAAACAGCTTTTTTATCATTGCCACTCACTGCGTCCCACATTTGTTGTGCAACTGATTGTGGGAAATCACAGTCTCTTGATCTCCGAACAAATAGCTTCTCCGCATACTGTGAAATGACAAAAAAATGTTTGAATGAGCTTTCCTGAACATTGCCTATGACAGAGCAAAGAGAGAATGCCTCGAAAGTAAATATTTTCTAGATGTTCAATGAATTATTGAAGGAACAACATACTGTGAAATATTCACTCCCTCGAGAAGAAAAATAGCTTCAGTTATCTCCAACATAAGGAAATAATTAAAGGGTAGAAGCTTAAAAACCTTAGCTTGTATATACTTTTCCTTGATAGATATCATATCAGCATAGCTGGGCTTTCCAGTGACCATCACCCTGGATTTATCAGACCTGCGCATATTTGGCAAAGCAATTTTAAAACTATTATGCCAAAGTTTTCATTACTTTGACTAAGAAGGCAAAATTTCAATCATAAATGGATTTTTTACCCAGTTAAGCCTGGGTCAACATGGAAGGCGCTCCTTGAATGAAGCAATTCCTCCCAAACTGTGTTTGCAAAAGTATTTCCAAGAGCTTGGAACAAACTTATAACAGATGGCTCCCATACTTTCACGTCGAGAGTGAGTGACCTAACCTGTAGCAACGGCCAACTTCAGATTGCTATAGACTGATGTCAAACTGAAGGTCGAGCCATCCACAGTTCACATTCTATCACATGCTCTAACAATCTGAATTGCTAATGAACATCAAGCCTAGTGTCACTTCAAAATTCTGATGAACTTCTTTACGTCCTTCCATGAGTTGGTTGTTATAGAGCCTACATATATTTGAAAGCAATTAAGAGTTCTCGCGATTTACCTTAGATATATGCACACCAAGATTACGGTGAACACCAGAACATTCAATACAGACAAGAACCCCCAAATTTAAAGAAGCCCAATCTGGTTCTGGAGCTCCACAATCCGCACATTTGTCATTCCCACAGACTTTTCGCAGAGCATCAATGGGCTTCTCACCCTTCCTAATGGACCGTTGCGGCTGAAAACTTCTTGATGGCCTTTCATGGTACCCCAAAAAGCTCCTCTCACATACGAATTCTTCAGTGGTAGGATGATCATATTCAGAACTTTCATATGAGCTACTTTCACTAGCAGATCGATGGTGACCACTTCCCATGGGACTACCAGGAAGACGCTGAAATGTAGCCGAAGGACAATCACCAAAATTGCATTGATATTTAATATGAGCCTAGTCAAGCAAAGGAATAACGATAATACTTACCTGTTCAGGGACCTGAGAACTAAGTAGTGATGCAATAACCCCTGTAATCTTTTCTATCCAATCCATTTGATCGAGTGCACTCTCAGCCTGCACTGACAAACATAAGTAAACACTGAGTGAAAACTATTAAAAGTTGGGTAAACATGCAAACAATAAAGGTTTAAGGAAGTAACAAAGACTCTGAATCAAACCTGCAACGTGTAGTTTTTTGTAGGTGAAATGATCCTAAAGCAAAACCTCAGATCGGATTGATCAGCGTCGACTTTAATTGTTGAGGTGAGTAAGTTCACTGTATGACGAGCTACAGACTTCTCATCATGGACACCACCATGTCCATGACTATTCGAAGAAAGCCACCTACTAAGAAGTCCAGACCCAAGCTCGGAGCTATTTCTCTGTCCAGAAAGCTGACTGCCAGACCCCTAAACATCAAATCATCTAAGTCAGAGTGTGAAAAGAATGGGTCAAAAAGATTTTTCATTTATAAACACCATACCGTTTGCATAACTCTGCTGTTTCAAATATAAGATAAATACAAATACAAAACTTACAGATGGTTTGCTACACTGTTTTCGGTAATAATACAGCATTCCCCGGCTGTCAAGAACAAAAAACCTTCTTTTCCAGTCTCCTCTCAGGTTTGAAGATCGTTTAGAGAGATAACCTTGCCTTATTGTTTGAACCTGAAAGCACCAAGAAATGTTAATAGTACTCTCTGGAAGATGTCTCATTCATATGTAAAAGACATTGATCAACCTTCCCCCTTGCAGCAGATTGCATTACGGCGTCTATCATTTTGTGAGAGCTTCTACCGATCGCTTGTATGCCATCTCCATTTGGTGATCCATTAGAACCATTTGAACCCCACCTGCTCTCTCGATCAACCTGTCTTTTGTACTCCTGCATCTTTTCATTAAGTGCTGCTTGTTCATAATTTGATCTTTCTCTGGATTGTTGTGCATAGGTCAAGACCTGCAAAAAAGAGTTGATGTATAAATAGTTTTCTAAATGCCACTATCTCAGCGTTCTAACCACACATTTCTTAGAAGAGAATATATTTAAACCGACCTGATTGATATATGGTTCCATCTGATGCAGTAATTCGTAACCCTGAAAGCAACCACATTCAGATTTGACACAAACCTTTTCAGACAATTTTATAATACTGAAGCAGCATAACAAACTTACCTGTTTGAAGTACCGAAGATGTGCATCCATCGTTCCGCTGACTGCTTCCAAAAATTCAAACCTTTTCTTAGCTTCAACATTTGAAAGAGCAGTCACCTGTGCATAAATTAGGAAACCAAATAAAACAAATGATTACTTCAACAATACCATGGATGTGACAGCAGGTATATAGATTTGAATACTCAAAGATCAAACAAAAGAAAATTACAAGGTTGAACCGAGCTTGCTCAAACATAGACCTCGAAGTGTGAAGTTCCTGTCAGTGTCAATATATGTTAGTTATAACATAGAGAAATAAAAATATATAGTATTCAAAACTTAGAAACGAGCTTTACTAAAAGCATGCACCATACCTGTTCTAAAGCAGCAGCAACATCACTTTTTGTACCTTTCCTCAAAGATAAAAACTTCTCACGGGCCTAAATCACAATAGGAAGTTAATTAATCGTCCAGATAAGCGTGGACCCAATTTGCCTCTCTATTCTATCAGTTTATCTTCCAAGCTATAAAATTGATTCCTAGTAAGAGATGGCGCTCAGAAAAGTAACATGAACAAAAAAACTAGCTAGGTTACTGTAAATTTATACACAGCCCGCGCATAAAATTGCAACACATATATACTCAAACTTTAAAAAGAAAGAACCCTAGCATTCCTCCATTAACAAGGAATGATTCAGATATAATATTTGAGCTCGATTCATTTGGTCTGGTTGAAACTTTTCATACAGATTTACATCTAGTAAAGGTAAAAGTGTCGGGATGAGAACTTATAATCCTTCCAAACTGTCTTTTGTAGTGCAAACCAAGTCAGCACAGTGGAGAAACCAAAAATCCTTGACAAAGGGATACCTGATCGTAGGTAAGGCTAGCCTTATCAAAGCGCTTCCGAGCTTCCTGTGGCAAAAATGATCTCTCAGGATTCCATATCCAAATATAACCTTGTCATGCTAGCCTACTTTAGAAATGGAAAAAGATATATCTGGACTAGCCACAATGTATAGGCAGGGTCAAGAAACTTAACCATATCTGTCGTAATCATCAGACCTTCTCTACATTAATGACCTCAGAAAATATTTCCAATTATAATTTGTTTGGGGAAGGTTGACTACCTGAGTGATAGTTAATTAGCTTTTTTAAGATTTCTAGTACTGCAATGCCAAAGTCAAACCAGAAGAATTAAACCTAATCTCCCTATTAAATTAAATGCCTCTTGGCAAACCTGCTGGCAGGTCTTCATATTTTTTCTACTCACATATGCAGAATGTTTGTCCTCCATTGTTTTAACTCAAAAAATGTATATCTAGCCAAGAATAAATGAAGCAGCTTGTACCTTAACTTCATGCAAATCCATATTGGCAAATTGAAGTAATCTGTCATTCAGTATATGTTCCACCTGACAATGGAACTCATAAAAATCAAAACCTGAATTGAAATGACTTGATCTGCTCAAAACCTATACGATGTCTTAAGGTGAAGCAATCTATATAGAGGCCACTTTTGCTGAAGGAAAACAAAGCTATCCAACGTTGATACCACAGAAGAGTTATCAGAGAGAAGGCTGGGGGTGGATAGAACGGAGCGAGTGTCAATAATAACAAACTAGCATACCTGTGACCGAAGAACTTCTTTATAAGTCCCAATTTCCCTCAACGCAATTGTAAATTTTGTCATTACAGGTCCTGGCGCAGTAAGTTAGAGTTTGTCAGCACTTTTGATGAGACTATATGAATCTAACAACCCTAGCTAAGAGAAAGCGAAGAGCAAGAGCAGGAACAGCAAATTCACTTGCAATTTAAGGGTGAGCCACACCATAAGTTAGTGCTTGAAAACGAAAATTTATGAATTCTAAAATGGAAAATGCCTAAAATCTCAGATGACAAGTAGGTGCAAAGAGTATGGGGATTAACATAATATGCTACTGCGATTTTCCATGGCCTATGTGATATCGGTTATACCTCCAAAAGCAACACTTATTGGATCATTATGGCCTCCACCAAATGTTTCCAGTGCACTTGCGAAAGCAATGTCCCCATCGTATGCCTCACCTAGTCCTTCACTGTAAAAAGAAAGGATAATCTATCTCTGTTAAAAGATACATGTTTCAGCCAGAAGAAAACTCTAAAGGTAGAGCTACAATCCTAGTCATTTGAAGCATACGTGTATTTCCGGCATCCTTTGTAAAACTTGAGACTTCTTTCCCGCAATATTTCCGCACTCTCCTCCATGCTTTGTAACTATTTAAGAAAAAGATATCAATATAAGCACACAACTGGAAGGAAAAGTACATACGGTGAAGAAAACAGAAAAGACAAAATCTTATTATGGAAGAAACTGCAACTATGGAAAACCCCAAAGATTAAGTGATTTAGGCACTTATAGCGGTAAAAGAATCATCAACTACAGGCAAACATAGCAGGTTTTGGACAGAATTTGAGATACACTAGGAACTTCCTTAGCATTTAAGTTGAGTATATAGAGCAGAATTCTGACTAAACCAGTGAACATGAAAGTAGTAGCTAAGTGGACACAAGTGTATCCTAAAACACAGAGCAGCTTTGTCAGAATCAGAGACCCAAACATGTGCACTGGATCATAAGTCATTTTCACATTTCATGGAGCAACAAGGTAAAGCGCGAATAGGCCGTCCAGGAACCTTAATTAATAAATCAATTTCTCAGTGACACATTAATTCGAACCTTCCAGTGAAGTTCCACTCAAACTATGGGGTAAAATGTCGGTGGACACTCAAAATTCCAGAAGTTACACATCCTAATGGCTCCAAAATTAGTATCTGTTCACAACTTTTGAAGAACATATCTCGCCTAATATGACCCAATTTTAAACCTACCACACTAGGAGACTGGACACATTAAGACAAACACACAGAGACAGGAACCAAGATATGTAGTAGAAACAAACCTGTTTGCGGAACATGGGAGAGTCATCAAGCTTAGTGAAATACATTTTGAGCTAATTCTTACTTCCTCTTCTTCGACACAAACAGCAATTAACATCACACGACACGAACACACACAAACAAAAACCTAAAAAGCTAAAACCACCACTACTTTCTCACACAGACAAACGATGAGATCCTCTCCTCTCGACCCAAAAGCTTTCCCAAAATATCTACAAAAAAAGAAAAAAAAAAACAGAACCCGATGATCTTCAGAGTCTCGAGCCAAGCGTAATTTTGAGCTGGTGTTTTTCTCGCGAAATCGAGAGAGAACAAAACAAGAAAACAGTGGGGGGAGTTTTTTTTAGATGAAGTGTCTCGGGAGAAGAGAAGAGACAAACATATCAAAGAAAGAAAAGAAAAGAAAAAAAAAACTTCACCGTCTTTGTGAAAATTTTAACCACAAAAGACGGCGAAATTGTGCCGTTTTAGTTACCGCCGGAGATCGTGAAGGTCGGTAAGATACGACAGCGTTTCAAGTGTAAAATTTTAAAGAGAGGAGTACTGACTGTGCTTTTTCTGTAACAGTGGTCATCTGAGAAAACAAGGACTCGGGCAAAGATCCACTCTCTCCACGCGTCTTAAAAGCGCGTGTAATATTAAAGAAGAGGGAAACTAGGTGGCGCGTGTAGTGAACGCGATGCTCTCGAGAGGATTAATAGAGAAGGGAGTGTGGGACCCGTTATCTGGTTGCTTCTCCATTACCTTTTGTTCCGGAGGGACAGAGAGGCCAGTGGGGTATAAATGATTCCTTTTAAGACATTTTTATTTTTATATGAAAAAATATTCTTTAAAAATAAATAAATTGAACTCTTAAGGGTGGGAAAAAATTGTTAAAGCAAAAAGAAAAGTGGAAGAAATTTGGAAAAAATGGACACGATGATCTTACTTTTTTTGCAGACTTTACAGTCGCATATGATTTTTAAAATAAAAATTTTGGTTTCAAATCCCACTTGTTTAATGAAATGTATGATTTCTTTTCCAGCTAGTACAATATTGTTTAATCATAACGATAATCGTGTTAAAATCTAGTTTAAGATCTTTGTTCAACAGGTAAAACTAAGATATCTTCATATAAAACTATAGTAGCAGGGCCGGTCCTAGAATTTCAGTGACCTAAAGCATAATTTTAAAAGTATAGCTTTGAAAATAAAATAAAATAAATAAAAATTAATAACACAACAAAAAATGACAAAAAATCAGCTATGGAGACTCGAAACTGGGAGGGATTCAATATATTCAACAATTGTCAAGCCATTAGATTATTGAGACTTTTCAAAATATGGCCTCATTTTTTGCTTTATATTATGTGGCTTAAAGCATAATACTTTACTTGCCTTATGCACGAGCCGGGCCTGATAGTAGTAATAACGAATTTCTATTAACCAAAAATGTTAATATTTTCTAATCTGGTCTTTGTAATCAGATATTCTCACATCATTTTTATCTTATGGTTTTCTCTCTCAAATGATTTCCAACCTGATGCTATCAATCCACTGTGACTTAGATCTCTCTTTTCCTTTTTAGCCTGTCGCCTCTTTCATTTCCTTATTGACCTCAAACGGCCTACGGATACTAACTAAATTACTAAAATCCTTTTTTTTAATATATCACACACCCAAAAAAATAAAAAAAATTATAGAGGTAATAGTGACTAAGGCCGATAGTGGGCCTAAAAGTAAGAAATTCCATTATGTCAGGCCCATCATAAAATGCCCATTTTGTAAAAGGATCACAATCGTAAGAGGCGGTCTAGTCTTTTTTACGTTCTTCGTTAACTCTCACACCAATCGATTTGTGTGTGTTTCAATTTCTTATTGCTTCCCTTCCCAATGGCGTCGTCTGGATCGGCCGACGATGATTTCCAGTCTCGCGTTGCGAAGATCTTTGGGTCTCTCCCCTTCTCTCGTCCTTCGTCTTCCAAGTTTTCTACATCTTCTACTCCGGCGTCGCGGCAACAATCGGGGTCGGTGTGGACTCTCTCCGACACAGAAGTAGAGAAGCGGGAATGGAAGCGAGATTCGTACGATAGAGACGAGATTCCTTGTGTTTCATCGTTCGATGAGCTGTTGAGACAACAAAGGATCTCGAGCACTGCTCGGAAGCCTCTAGAGGATGATCTCAAAGATATGGATTGCGGCGAGGATTTTGATGGTGAGTGGAGTATCAGAGCCTCCATGGGACTTGACCGCACTCTCGATGACGAGGTAAATCAATTTTTGGTCTCTTAATGATTGTTTCTCATTGCGCAGCGAATTACAATTAGGAAGCATTGTTGGTCCTTTTCTCTTGGATTCACCTGTGTCTGAATATTGGTGTGTGACTTAGAGAGTTTTTGTACGTGAATCTTCAACCTATATAACCAACTTCATGATTCGTGAATTTTAGTTTTTCTTGTTAATAATATTATGCTTATATGTAGCACATACCGTATTATGAATAGGTTGTCACTTTCTTTGATACTGAGTGTTGTTTCCATGAATTATGCTTCTTAACACAGGCAGAGGAAGATGAGTATGATAAAGTTGCACTAGGTGAAGAGAATGACGGTGAAGGTGAAGGCTTGTCTATGAAAGATGCCCTTTCAAAACGGGATCCTCGTGCTAACTATGTTGCTGCAAGAATTAGGCTGAAGGAAGACGCAATCGAGGCCAACAAGTTTAATACTTCTGCCAGTCAACCTGCGAAAAGCAAAGAGCCACGCGCAGAAGAATCATTCGAAGCTGTGCCGCAAAAACCTATACTCAAAAGGAAGGAGAATAGTTCAGATTCAGAAGGAAGGACAAGTAAGCGAGTCAGGTTTGATTTTGTGTCTGAAGAAACATCAAAGAAACCTGAAGATTCTTGTTCAGCTTCTGTCTCCTCAACAAGTGTATCTCATCAGGGTAAAAGTGGTGCTCGGGTGCCAGATTACTTGCTAAATCCTTCGAGTTACACCCGTTACAGCTTTGATCAATCTCGCGAATTGAATGAGAAGTCCCCAGCAGGAGAATACATGGACACTCCCAAGGCTGTTGAAGGATTAAAAACTCCAGAGTCAGGATCATTCTCAAAAGTCTCCTTTATTCCACAGAAGAAGACCAAGGACGTTAGAGAAGTCAGTAGTAACTGTAGTGAGACGAAGCCTGTTGTAGCTGGAGAGTTGGCAGAAGAAGAGAGACCAAGTGCAACAGAAGATGGGGATACTGAAGTAGGAGAATCAGAGAGCTGCACCAGTTTCCAAAGGAAAGGTCGTCAATATCGCGCTAAGCGAAGTTTAGATGAAACAGCTGTCTGATCTTTCACATACCAGTTGGTTGGAAAACGCTACACAGAGATGAAGTTGGGGTCCATGAGATACAAACATGTAGCATCTTTTAGCAGTACATGTAAGATATTTTTAATTCCTAGACTTCTTTTTTACCCAATTTAGAGACTATATTACAGCGAATGTATGGTAACATAGTAAGAAACAGTTTACCTTCCTCGAAGAGAAACAGTTTACCTTCCTCGAAGAAACAGACTACTGGTTGATAGAACACGCAGAAGAGAATCTAAAGCTACCTCAACTTCCTCGAAGCAATCTTGATAGATCACCAGAGATGTTGCCACAAGTTTGGTTTCAACACTAGTGAATCGCTTATGGGAAGATTCCTAGGTTGAGAGACGTGGTTTTGAGCAAGAAATTCGTAATCTACTTGTGAATGAGAGACTACTTACTTGATCATGATGGAGAGAGCCTCTTGATGACAGAGAGAAAGTAAAGATTTGTGAACATACTCGTGGAATTTATGAGCAGGTGAAAGTCTGTTGATTCTGAGAAAGAAGGTAACACCTCTTCTTAGTTTGTTTTGATTCAAGTCATCAAGTTATAGTATGACTGCAGATTAACCAAATCATGGATTCCATTTATTTGCGTGAAAGGTTTTTGCTTAAAGCAAAGCTGTCGTTAATTGAGCATTGCTTAGTATTCCTTCAGTTAGTGAATCTGTTTTTACGGGTTTTCAGCTTATGGTTTGATCAACAGACCACTCGTTGTTGGAGTGTTTGTTAGTCCAACATTGAACATGTCTTTCCTGGCAGGAAAAAGTTCTAATCTGAAGACAAGACTGGTCTGAAAGTTTCTGATTGGTTTTAGATGAGATGCATATATATGTTTTTTTTTTTTTGTGCACCAATGCATATATGAGATGCATATATATGTTTATATGAACGAAAACAGAAAAAAAAATGGGAGGGACGGACACAATAATAATGTTGCTGAGCCTTAATAAACAGCTTCCACAAGCTGTCTTTTCTCCGTAATATGTGAGCATAACTCGGAACCATATTTATCATTTTTTGTAACTTTCTTAAAGGTCATTTCAAGGATAGCTGTCTTAACTATGGCCTCTTGGTTCTGCGTACGGATGCATTTATAAAATGTTATTCATTTAGCTAATTTGACATTTATGAAAGATACGTGTGTTTTGGAAGGACACTCCAAATGTCATTAGACACCAAAACCCACTTGGTGTGTATATTAAAGTCAGAGATGGAGACGACTTGGAAGTTTATTTTGATCAAAACTCGTGTTTGACGTTGTAGGCTTGTAGCATATTAAGAAATGACTTTCAACTCTTAATGTTTACTTGGAACATCTTTTTCTTTTTCCAGAGAATTTCTGGACAAATATCCCTCCAGCCCTCCAGGCCCACCCTTCATATTCTCCATTAAATTAAAGTTTTCGTTCGAAGGTCAAACAACTCAAACAGTTTTGGTTGTATTGAATCTTATATTGTGAAACAAAATAATATGGCTAAAACATCCTATAATATGAAACAGAGGGAGTAGTTTTTTTACGCGTAAAATCCTCTTGTCTTAACTTACATGGATGAATTCGTTTTGATCAAAAAAAAATTAAATTTAGAATTTAAAATAAAGAAACGGTTCCATATTTCAAAAGAAAAATTTATTAGGGTTGGTGGAAAGATTTTAAAATTAAATGTTAACAGTTAATGGAGAATAGAGAAGATAAAGAAGGAAGAGTTTAACAAGCAAATAGTTTTGGTTTTTCCTTTTAGGGGATTTGTATTAGTTTAAGATGAATTAACAATGTTTGGTATGGTCGAAGTAAAAAACATATATAGTACCGTTGGGTAGGATAAGACTAGACTACGATTGGAGCTTGAGCGAGAACCATATAATATCGGTGATACGATTTGGATCGTACTGTCATGTGTTATTGATCTTTATTTTTGTTTTTGTTTTGGTTTAATGCAGTTTCACAAATTTCCAAATCCTTTGTAATTGAGTGTATCAATCTGGAGAGAAGAAACGAGACTCTATTGCAGGTGAGTTTAAAGTCTCTTGCGTTCAATTTCGTGTTCTTTTGTAATTTCGTTGAATATGATATTGAAACTTCGTTTGTAATTTCTTTTAGTCTCCATCACTTTCACAACTAAATAAATAGTTTTTGTTGACTCTCATTGTAGAGTCTTTTTGTGGTCTTTGTTGTGTAGAATTTAGTTATATTTTTGTGATTTTGTTAATATTTAATTATTTATATTTGACTCTCACCGTAGAGTCTTTGTGTGGTCTGGTCTTTGAGTATGAGTTTTATTTTTCTTGCGCGAAAGTTTTAACTTGTTTTGGAAGTACAATTTTGGCCGAAGTTCCGTGTGATTTCCCTGCCTTTTCCTGACTTTGTTGATTCTAAGGAAACAGATACCAACAAATATATGGAAAACCTAAAATATTTTTTTATAAAAAATATATGTATTTTCGAGAAACCTAAAACCATGTACATAGCTGATAATAGGCCTCGGCATAAAATCCGAAATCTGAAAACCGATCCGAAACCGATCCGAAAAATCCGGCTCCGAATCCGAACCAAATAGTCACAAAACCCGAACGGATAATGAATTCTCCTATCCGAATTATCCGAACCGAACCCGATCCGAACCGAAAACCGAAAGGATATCCGAAAACCGAAAATAAAATTATATATCCAAAAATATTAGTTATATTTAGCTATAATTTTATAACAAATAACAAAAATATCCTAAATAACCTAGATATCAGAAAGTTTTTAGTTATATTTGTTAAAATTATACATGTTTTTGGAAAACTTAGCCAAATTTTAGTAAGATTAAAACTATTTTTTATTTAAATTGAACATTTTTTTGGTTTTTTTTCCTCGCAAATCGATTTAAAATTAATCCGAAACCGATCCGAATCCGATACTATCCGAACCGAACCCGATCCGAATAGTCATAAAAGCCTATTAATAATTTTTTAATAGATCAGAGTATCAAATTGGGCCTGATTAGTATCACTGGAGTGATACTTCTGATATCCAGTATCAGGTGACGTGGCGGCAGCTGATTCGTCTGAGAAGCGCGTTTTTCCTTGAAAACAGAAAAAAAAAATATTCATATTTGGTAAAAATTGGGCCAAGGTAATTGACTCCATGCAACTAAATTATTTTTATCATCATGTTTTTTTGAAAAATTTTATGTTTATTTTGCATAAGAATATTCTACGGTTTTTTATTGTAATATTACATTTGTAATCCTATGTTTTTATATATTTATTTTTGATTTTGCAAATAATTTTTTTAAATGATACTTAAACTGGTTTCACCAATAAAAACATATTTAGTAAGAGTATCATAAAAAATCTCAAACAATAAACAAACATTATAAATAATACTAAAAAATTCTTAATGATACTTTATGAGTATCACCTATGACCATGCTCTAAGTCTGCTCTAAGTCTGGTGTATGACTAGCAATTCCTCTCACACCGTACACGTAATTATAATATTAAGCCTACCAATGTCTTTGCGAATCCATGAATTACTTAAACTGATTTTCCATGAAACAGTTAGTTAATAAACATTTTATAGATCGATGTCAAAGTTTCGCATCATTAAGGTTCTCACTTCTCACACGGTCTACACAATTACTAAGCATGTCTATGGAAATTTACGAAACTACATTTTCCACGAAACCATATTTTCCACGAAATTACATTTTCCATGAATATTAGTTAAACAAAACGATTAGATGTCTCTAATTCATGGATTCGCAGGTTCACGGATTAAATGAACCAGACTTGCAATTGCGTGAATTGCAAAATATTTTAGGTTTTTTCTAATATTAGATGAATATTAGTTAAACATTTTCTTTTGTGAGCAATTGCTTGAATATTAGTTTATTAATCATTTTGTGATTGCGTGTTTAACTAATATTAGTTAAATATCCATATCTTTTGTGAGCAATTGCTTGAACCAGACTTGTAAATTGTAATCGCGTGAATTGAAAAATATTTTAGTTTAATATAATATTCCTTTCATGGAATGAAAACGAAATTACTTCTCAGATGTCTAATATAATATTCATTTGTAATCAGTTAATTACTCCGTTCTTATAATACACATGTATAAATTAATCTATTCTCAGTTGTTGGAATACAAATAAAAATGAAGCATTATTTGTGTGTCACCATTCACACGCTAAGGTCAGAATTCTATAATCTCAATTAAAGCATATTATGAAATTGTGTTACTCGGTCGAGACTTTTTCTACAGTTAAAAAATTGACCGAGACTCACGAACTGCCAAATCCATTTAATTATTTAGGGTTTTTCATGCTATATATAGAACCCAAGTGTTAACTCTGTTTTCATATCAACTAATAACCAACTATCCATTCTCTTTCTTTTTTCATATCAACTAGAGAGAACCAAATATGAAGCCAATCTCCGATATCAACGAAAGTTTTGAGAAGCAGCTGAAGTATTTAACTTCAGATGTGAAGCAAATACAAGACAACTTGTTAGAGGAGATAATCACACCCAACACCAAAACAGAGTACCTCCAACGTTTTCTCATCGGTAGGTTCGATAAGGATCTTTTCAAGAAAAACGTACCGATCGTGACATATGAAGATATTAAGCCTTATCTGGATCGTGTCGTTAATGGAGAGTCATCCGATGTTATATCGGCTCGACCTATTACCGGTTTCTTGCTAAGGTACATAAGAAACTCTCTCTATAATTTACATACAGTTTCTTTCTTGTCAAAGACTATATGTTTACGTGAAGTGCTTTTTTTTTTTTGGTAGTTCGGGAACTTCTGGAGGAGCACAAAAGATGATGCCATGGAACAACAAGTACTTGGACAACTTGACTTTCATCTACGATCTTCGTATGCAAGTTATAACCAAGTAAGTGCTGCAACATTTTTTCTTTATATTTTTTTACTATTATTATTTGGATCAGACCATTGATAAAAAACTCTCTTCTTTGTTATGTTTAGGCATGTGAAAGGTGTGGAAGAAGGAAAAGGGATGATGTTTCTCTTTACTAAACAAGAATCCATGACTCCTTCTGGCTTGCCTGCTCGAGTCGCAACCAGCAGCTATTTTAAGAGTGACTATTTCAAGCACCGGCCATCGAACTGGTACTACTCGTACACGAGCCCTGATGAAGTCATCTTATGCCCTAACAACACCCAAAGTCTGTACTGCCATTTGCTCTGTGGCTTAGTCCAAAGAGACGAGGTTGTGAGAACGGGTTCCATCTTTGCTTCAGTCATGGTCCGAGCCATCGAGGTTCTTAAGAATTCTTGGGAGGAGTTGTGTTCAAACATCCGATCGGGCCATCTCAGCAACTGGGTCACAGACTTGGGTTGTCAAAGCTCTGTTTCTTTGGTCCTTGGAGGGCCACGTCCTGAATTAGCAGACACGATTGAAGAAATATGCAACCAAAAGTCTTGGAAAGGTATAGTCAAAAGATTGTGGCCAAACACCAAATATATCGAAACTGTTGTTACCGGTTCAATGGGACAGTACGTTCCCATGTTGAACTACTATTGTAACGACTTGCCTCTCGTTTCAACAACTTACGGTTCTTCAGAGACTACCTTTGGGATCAATCTAGATCCTCTGTGCAAACCTGAAGATGTTTCTTACACTTTCATGCCCAACATGTCTTATTTTGAGTTCATACCAATGGATGGAGACAATAACGATGTGGTCGACCTTGAAGATGTGAAACTTGGGTGCACTTATGAACCCGTGGTCACAAATTTCGCCGGTGAGCTTAAAAACATGGATCATGACTTCAATAAAATGCATTACATTTTTTTATATATTTGAACTAATGTTTGTGAATATGTTTTGCTTGTTCAGGCTTGTATAGGATGAGAGTGGGAGATATTGTATTGGTGACTGGTTTCTACAACAACGCGCCTCAGTTTAAGTTTGTAAGAAGAGAAAACGTCGTCTTAAGCATCGATTCTGATAAAACTAACGAAGAAGATCTGTTTAAGGCTGTGAGTCAAGCGAAGCTCGTACTCGAGTCATCAGGTCTCGATCTGAAAGACTTCACCAGTTATGCTGACACCTCAACATTTCCCGGTCACTACGTGGTTTACTTGGAAGTAGATACCAAAGAGGGAGAGGAGAAGAAGACGGCACAGTTTGAGCTCGATGAAGAGGCACTCTCCATGTGTTGTTTGGTAATGGAGGAGTCGCTTGATAATGTTTACAAGAGATGTCGATTCAAAGACGGATCGATCGGGCCTCTGGAGATAAGAGTGGTGCGTCAAGGAACGTTTATTTCTCTCATGGACTTCTTCATCTCACAAGGTGCTTCCACTGGGCAATACAAGACTCCCAGATGCATTAAATCAGGGAAAGCCTTGCAAGTACTGGAGACATGTGTGGTAGCCAAATTCTTCAGTTCTTGATTGTTCTTCCTTCCCTGGATTACAGGTTCAAGTGATTTGTTTTTTGTTTTGTTTTTTTTCTTTTTGATAAAAGGGTATGGTTCAAGTTATTTGTTGTGATTTCAGTGTGTACTAATCACAATTAGTGAGAAACCATTTGAGAAAAATGGAGATGCTCTAATTTGTCTGAATGTTTGTTTATATTTTCTAATATATAATATTGATTCAGTCCTTGTTTGATTTAATTTCCTCTTTAAAACGGAAAACACCATTGAGAATTTCTGAGTCTTTACTCAGAAACAGAGCATTTATATTCAATAGAATTGAAGTTGGAAATGGTTTAATATGGAGTAATGGACTTGGAAAATGGCCTAACAACATTGAGATGAAACCAAACCCTTCGTTACACTTCACCACCCTGAGCCATGAGTCCATGACTACCAACTACCAAAATAACAATCCGGTTTTGTTTTGTTTCAGTTCGTGTGTTTTTCCGATTTTATCGCTATCTTAGAAACAAAAACCAGGTAAACCATGTGTAGTTTGAACGATTTTAGCATAATTTTCATCTAGCTTCAGTAGAGTGTCCAAAACACAAAATTTTCTATGCAGTTAAGTTGGAAAAATAATTGATGCAAAATTCTCTCCAAGCAAAAGAAAAGATTGGACTCATCAATAAAAGCAGGCCCGGCCCAAAGGATGGGGCAAAGAGGTGACGGCCCAAAGGCCCAATAATAATCCAATAAAATTGTGACTAAAGGCCCATTAAAAACAAACATCAACAAAAAATAGCCTAAAATTTCATTTTTTAAGATTTTTTTTGTTAACTAGGCTCAAATATTCTAGGGTGATTTAGGTGAATAACCCAAAAAAAAGATATTAAACTTCTATATTAAAAAAAAAATAGGCCCAAACATTTAAAATTTTAAATTTTACTTTGAATAGCTTTTTAAAAAATCAAAAATTAACTCTAAATATTTTAAATTTTCTTTATTTTCTTAAGAGATCCAAATTTAGTCTCACAAAAAAAAAAACAGATCCAAATTTATTTATTTTTCTTTAAAGCTATCAAATATATTGGGGCGGGGCTAGCATTACCGAATTACCAATGTACCCTAATTTAATTTAAAATGTGGTTAATTGATCAAATATGATTTTCAAATGGATGCACCCATACAGGCTTTGATTCCTAAAATTAATAATGACTGTTCATACTTGATGCATACAGATTCTATTAATTTTAAAAATTTATCAATTTGTAGATAACAAATAAAAATATACGATCGAATTTCAAAATTTTGATAGATAATATACTAGAATAAATACATATACAAAAATATACCAATAAAAATACCAATTATTTTATTTTTTGTAAGAAAAAATAAGAAAGATCATCAGAATGTTGGGTCCGCACTCATTCCTAATATGTGCATAACACTGCTGCCAAAACATGCGAAGCTGATAAGCTCCTAAAAAAAATAAAAATTGAGAAAAGGAAAAAGAGAAGTAGAGAACTATGAACTCAAAGAACGGTCCCACCCCGCACCATTCCAAAGATTGTAATTAATAATTTATCATCTGTTTTTCCCTTTTTTTTCTTGTAGATCCTTCTCTTTATAAAACCCTTTTGTCACCTCTTCTTTCCTCATAATATCACATCATAGCCTAAACTAAAGACATAAACCCTTATTTTGCGATCCCAACTTGTGTTGTTCATCACCAAGCCAAGCTCCATGGCCTAGTCACTCCGCAGAATCCCTATCATCAATTCATTCAAACTTAGTTCCTTTCAAATTCTTGTACATATATATATACACACTCGTGTTGTTCTCTCGGTGTGTGTGTGTGTTACATATCCGTGTGAATACAGTTTGTTGTAAAAGTGGATCGGAGGTATGGAAAGGGACCGGTTCCACAGGAAACATCGGCGGCGGCGGATGAGAATCCATCTTGGAACGAGACTGATGTCAACGCCATGGTCTCCGCTCTCAGCCGTGTCATCGAGAATCCGACAGACCCGCCGGTCAAACAAGAGCTTGATAAATCGGATCAACTTCAACAAGACCAAGGTAATTATATTACAATAACTCTATATATCTTGATCATATGTATCTAAGAACAGCTTAATTGTTTTTAGCTAGTTGATGTATAACTTGTTATAATAAGTTAACTAACTAAAGACTTACCATTAATAACCCTTTGTGGTATTTTTCTTTCTTAATAATTATATTTGGGGGAAAAAAAGGAATTTGTATAGGTTAGGTTCAAGTTCAAGTTCAATGCATCTGTCATTTAATTTACTTTCCGTAAAGAACTTTCCTTCTGTTTTTGAATTGAACCACCGATCAGGATACTACGTGTCTATCATTTTTTTTTAATATATACATCTAGATTTTATTTTTTTTGTTTCCAAGTACAAGTTAGATATATTTTATTAACTCCATGTCTTAAGTCGTCAAACATATATATAAACCTACATATGTCTTCTTACCTAACTGTATGTTCCTTTGTTCATTTAAAAATTTAGTTGTCTTAGATATCATTCTCTATCAACTTTATGGTTATCAATATTTTGTATTTTAACATGATTTACTCGTTTTTTAGGTTCGTTAGTTAGAAGCCAAAATATGTCAAACGACACATACGCAAAGTCTTTATCAAAAATCAAGTCTAATTAGTTTATCCTTTAAGTTAGATTTATATATGTCATTCTTTATACATTAAAAGACACCCGAAATTACTCATCATATATAGAAACAGAAATCCAGATTTCTTTTCTAGATACGGTAACCTTTATTTTTGGGGTAAAAAATTGAATTGACAACGATTTCTTTTTAGAATGAATCTTAAACTGATTAACCAATATGATTTGTTCAATGTTATTAGTTTTATATATGTGAATTTTGAATGTCAATATGTAGCTGCTTGACTTTTTGAATATTTCTCTGGTCTGACAAGAAAAAAGAAGAATATTTCGCTGGTTATAACTGAGAATGTAATAAATATAGTATTGAATCAATTATTCGAATGAATTGAGTACTCTATTCCATAGAGAGGAATAGTATATATATAGCATATTGTGTAAAGTTCCACAATCACATAGTTGATGCGTTTTAAGTACTATGTATGCATCATCATTAGTTAAAATCCTTCATTTTTTTTTCCTTTTAAATCAGAAATATTAAACTATTATTATTTTCTTCAATTATTCTCTTGCTATATATAATTACTCGTTGAAATCTCACGTAGCATAATTAGTCTCATGCATGTAGAATTGTACATGCAATATGTAAAAAAAATTTGCTTCTGGTTTCATGTTAATCAAGATCAACCAAGAAGAAGACACTATAGAGGCGTAAGGCAGCGACCATGGGGCAAATGGGCGGCGGAAATCCGTGATCCAAAGAAAGCAGCCCGTGTCTGGCTCGGGACTTTCGAGACAGCAGAGGAAGCTGCTTTAGCCTACGACCGAGCCGCCCTAAAATTCAAAGGTACCAAGGCTAAACTAAACTTCCCTGAACGGGTCCAAGGCCCTACTACCACAACAACCATTGATCATGCATCAAGAGGAGTTAGTGAATCAATGAACTCCCCACCTATTCGGCCTGGTCCACCTTCTTCTACTACAACTACTACTTCGTGGCCAATGACGTATAACCAGGACATCCTTCAATACGCTCAGTTGCTTACGAGTAACAATGAGGTTGATTTATCGTACTACACGTCGAGTCTCTTCAGTCAGCCTTTCTCTACTCCTTCTTCATCTTCTTCTTCCTCCCAACAGTCGCAGCAGCAGCAACAACAACAACAACAGCAACAGCGTGAAGAAGAAGAGAAGAGCTATGGTTACCATTATTATAACTACCCAAGAAAATAATCTAATTATTATTGTCAGTCGAATCAGTTTTATAAATCGCTACCATTTTCGTTTCATTTTTGGTTTCCGTAACCGTTGTTGCATGGGAAATATGAATGAACGAGAGACGTGTGTAACAATTTGTTTTTGTTTCGTAATTGTTAGTTAAATTTGGATTTGCATGCAGAAGTTTGATTTTCTGAAATATGTCATTTCTGAGACATAAATTATTTGACGATCATGATTTCTGAAACAAAAAAAAAAAAAAATGTTAGAACGATTTTGGGAGCATGTTTGGAATCAAAACTTGTAAAACTGTACAACAAATATAGATTTGACTCTTTAGAGCTAACCAGCTATGAGTTAAAACTAGACAAAAATAAGTTAATTCTAAATAATAATCCAATGCAAGCTTTCTAAACAACTCCCGCTATTTCTTACGGCTTTTCTAAAATATAGAGTTGGAGTTAAAGGCTTCTCATTCTTATTGATCAAGAAAAATTATAGATACTAACATGGTTTTAACAAGAAAATTATAAGGATCTGTAACCATATATGTTCTAATATATACTAATCATCAATCATATTTTCCAATTGCAAGCAACTATCCTAATTTACTATAATTAACCTAGAGTAAATTCAAACAGAAATAAACGTGGACTGCAAATGCATCTAAACAACTTGTTGCATCAAAATAATGTAATAAAACATCAAAAAATAGGGACGTAATTAGAAATGCAGTATCCTTCCCCATGCTTATATCTTGTCTAATCTCTGAGCAAATCATTAACCGAATATGGGTGATACAAATATTCCGTAAACATAAAAATATCAAAAAGAAAATAAGAGAAAGCAAAAATCAAAGTACAAAAAGATAGAGGGGAATGTTACTCGAGCTTTAGTCGTGGTCCCTCTCAGTACGTATAGTTCGCATAGATTAAAATCTTCTTCTTTTTTTTTTTTTTTCACGTGCAGTTCTTTTCAATTTTTAATGAAATATTGCAGGAGCTTGAACGTTCTCTACGAAAATTAAACACCGGTGCACGAGCTAATACTCGAATATTAAGAACTGGGACATTTGTTTATCTGAATTAGATAAAAAATGTAGTTTCATTTCTTATGTCTTATATCTTCAAACTTGACTACTCCCGGAAAGTTTGTTTGAGCAGATTTAGTCAATGCTTATCCATCTGCGCTCAAACAAATTTTCTTTGTTGTATAAGTGTGCAAAAAAAAAAAGTGTGCTCAAACAAATCACAGATGATCACAACGAATATCGCAATCACTAATCATTTAAAGAACAAAAATATCGCAATCCCAAAACCAAAAGTGTTTCTTACAGAATAGTGAGACTTATCTGTCCACCTATTCATGTGATCTTTTTTTAGAAACGCATTTGTGTACATGCATCAAATCGTACTCGATTATATTTATTTGTGGTTTATGTTTCTTCCTCTTATTACTATAATTATTGATACATGTGAACATGCGAGAGTAGGACAAGCAAACTTGGTCTTGAGATTTAGATCGAGCTTACCCCACCAAAGATAGTACTTTAAACACCGAGTATCTTTCATTATTCTATTTCGAGTTTGATTGGCCTTAAGTCCCTCGTGATCGTCTCAGAATAGTTTCTGCAATATATTCCACATTACTTACACTATTCTATTAGACTATTTCATGTTTATATATGGATATAAATTCAAAAACTTTTTGGTTAATAAAAAAATAATATACATCTACATGTATTTCTATAGTTACTTTTTTTTTTGGCTCTACATTTTTTGGGTTGGTCTATTCAGAGATATGGGTGGGTTTGATAATTGACATCCATAAAATGAGATTAGATGAGATGATGTAGAAAGATAAGTAAAAGTGCTTTCTTCTACAGAGTTACGCATGCGCAAAGGCAAAGGGTGAAGGGAAATTGGGTCCCATCCCACTTGGTTACGTCAAGTGTGTTATTTCGAGGGCCATCTTCCAGATCCCATGACCCATTCCATTCATCTGTCAATCCCAATATCGCTCTTTTACCATTTCTTCTTTTATTTTCTAAAACTTAATTAAGATTAATTTCTACACGACACCAACTTAAACTTTCACAGAGACGACATTTCTCAACGCTATTTTCTACTCTCTCCGTTTCGTAAAGAATGTCGTTTTAGGATTATTTTTGTATTTTAAAATAAGTGTTGTTTTAGATTTTCAATGTAATATTTGATATAAAATTCCGAATGTAACCTTAAGTTTACAGAAGAATGCCAAGAGTCAATTTGAATTTAAAAGGTATAAAAGAAATTTTTATATGTTTTCTTAATTTGTGTGAAAAGTGTCAAAATAACACTTATTACGAAACAGAGGGAGTATGATACTATTTTCATTGCGTTATTGTTAAAAATATCTTACACACACATGCATTTAAGTTTAGTGTTGTAAATATTTATACATATTCACGGGTCTATTTGTCTAGCCTAAAACCATTTTTATCTGTTGATCACCGTACCCTCTAAACAGTCATAAAATTGCCATCTCCTTAATTTCGCCATTTAACAATTTGTCCCTAAATATAACTTTCAGAAAGCGATGTGCCGTTTTCTGAAAACATGAGACCTAGAAAATGATATAACGAGAGAAGTTGAAAAGATATATATGAAGTTCCGAATCTATTTTTTATTTAATGATTTTATCTAAGTTATTTTCAAGTATAATTAATCCTTTTTGATATTGACTTGGACGTACGGTATCTCTGACAAGAGAGACTTTTACCATGCTTTCGGCTTCGAAGATTCAAATATTGCGGCTGCTTTGCGTTGATTCCGTTGAGAGTGGAACTTCCCCAGATAACAATGATGATCTTCGCATGCACATGAAGATCGCAACTCTTATGTTATGTGGATAGAGATTTGAATAATATACTCATTTACGTGCATCTTTATCTCATTTTTCATCTTGTGGGGTATGTTCGTAGCCTCGTAGCAATCAAAACATAAGGGAAAAATGTGGTCAGTAGTAACGAGTTTAGACCAAGCGCAGTGGCGCATGTAGACGTCGGGTGTATGTAATTTAATATAGAAAAATAATGCAAAAAGTGGCTTTTCAACAACACCCACATGTAGAATTGCATTCGGGTGTGGGTATTATAAAAAAGGAAAAAAATTTCTTGTCTGTATCTCTCTCTATCTCTCTCTTTTTTCTCTCTCTAATTATAATACTAAAAATTATTTACACCTATACTAACACATTCACCACTATGGATGCTCTTATAATGTGGTCCCAACTCCCAATTGTAGACTTTTTAAAAATATTTTTAGTATTTTTCAGACTTGAATTGCACAATTTATAAAATTAAATGTTTACCTCTATCAATCTATATTTGCTTAAATTTTGTGGATAATCTCAAAAGAAAGCTTTGTGTAATTGTATATAGGTTCTCTTTGTCAAATATATGTTTCAGTTTTACGGTTAATCTTAAAATACATGAGAAGAGGAATTAGCTCATGGGAGTGCCAAGTCCTATACATAAAAGCCTCTAGTCCGGCCTTTACATAAAAACCTTTTTTAGTTGCCAAGTCCAAGATGAGTTTATTTTAAGATTAGGGGAACAATGTGCCCAACATATAAGATTATTCTAAATCAGGTTTATCATCTCAAAAACAGGATGTTTAGCTTCACTAAACATGGGAAAATCTGCCATTTTCCTCAGATTTATTGCAGAAACACCACTTTTAGAAATTGTGACTAGAAATATTTTTGAGAATGTTTGTGTTTGTATAGAATAGCGGAACTAATCGAATTGCGTGTTGATTCTCGTAAGACGAGATAATGAGTTTTAGCTTTGGCTGTTCATAGTCTAGATTTTGTCTTCGTTCTCTAAAACCATTAATGAGACGATAGACAAAATGATTACATGATCATTGTAAGTAAGTAACCTTAAATTGAATCTAACTCACACAAAAACTTTTTGTCGTTGAATTTTTTTGTTTCGCTGCCCTTCTTACTTAAAGACTTAAAAGTTACTCCTTCTGTTCCTAGATATTTGATGTTCTAGAGTTTTAGTTTGTTCCACAAAGTTTGATTTTCTAAGCTTTTGTTTTATTTTTTTATTGATTAAAATTAATATATCGTAAACTTTAATACGTAATGATTAACTATTTTCTAATACTATTGGTTCAAAGTTATTAAAAAATATTTAATATAAAAAAGTAATTGACAAATAATTAAACAATGATTGCTTCTTAATATATGTGAAAACTCTAGAACATCAATCTTCTATGAACAGAGGGAGTATTGTTTGCGTTGCTTTCACACCTCAAAAATCTCACACAAACGAAAAGAAAAAAAAAACACAATTTTGTGGTTCTAGCTAACTTAAATTTCTAGAACTTTTAGTAACGTTTTTGCGAATGGACATTCTAATTCTAGAACTGCTGTACATTTGCGGAATGTAGGGTTTTGTAAATTTCGAATTCGATTGAATTCAATAAACCATATTGTTAGGTTTCTAATATAACTTTTTAGGTGAAATTATTATTTTTTTGTTATTTCCTCACATGTTAAAAAGAGGCTTTTTATTTGGTCCGGCCAGGCCCAGCCACCAAAATTTTCTGCCCACCAAAAGCCCGCCAAACTTATTAGTCTTGTTAATATTCTAAGCATTGCTTTATGCTAACAAAAGCAAATATTATTGGTAGACAAGGATGACTTTAAAAGTGCAAGGCCGAGTATAGTTTTTGTCACCATACCAGAGTGAAAGGTGGTACCACATTTAATCCAAGGGGAATCTGCATTTTTACAATGATCAACATAGTGAAACAATAAGCTCATTGAAAGGTCAGCTAGATACAGTATGAATCAACTGTATCTTTCTATTCTCTGATACAAGAAGTCAAAAGTTTCTTCAGACTTGGCCTTCATCAATGTTTCCTTAATTATAAACCCATGCCGAAATGCAGCTTGGATCGTGATCTGTTTCCATTTGATAACTTGCTGGAGTTTCTAATCTCTTCTTCTTCTTCCAGTTTTTTTCTCCTTGCAGCCTCCTCCTTCTGTCTCTGCAGGAGCTCCAATTCTCTATACCTTTCCTCTTCTTTACGTTGAAGTTCCATTGCCTCTCGCCTTTGAGATTCTTCAACCCTCCTACTATTTTCTTCTAACATCTTATCCAGCTCTTCTCTTTCTCTCCTAGCTTGTTCCTTCAATTATTTT